AACCCTTAAGGAACCCTTAAGTGTTTGGAACCCAAGGCTTCAATTGGATGCACATGCAATCATCACTATATGGGGCTCACTTATCCTATAGGCTTTACCTACAAACCTTCAACTGCGAACCTCTCACTCCAAAACCTGCGCCCTAAACCTGACTAGCTCTTACAAACCCCATGCCGAATGCCCCCCAAAACCCAAAATGTGATGGCCTTAAACCCGCAAGCTTTAAGCCCTAAACTTTGGGTCCCAAATTTTCAAAACCCTAAACTTAAAGCCCTATATCTTTTAAACCCTAAACCCTAAGGTTTTTTGTTGTGCTAAAGCTGGCTCAAGGCAGTGTGACTGCTGTTGTCATATGCTGTATCTTGTGATCCTATACCTCAGTGATGCTAAAGCATAAATTGAAGCCATCCAGGCAAGCCAAAGTGACTTAAAAAGTCAAAGGTGCTTATTTGGCTCAAGGTTACTTATTTTTGTGGCTAAAAAGAGCCTCTGAACCTTTTAAGTCACATATGGTCTTCCAGGACGGTACCAACTTGACTTGTCACGGAAGCGGGGACACCAGCCAAGGATAAAAGCCTTTTCATGGTCGTCGTGCCCGCATGGTACCAGCGCAGATGTAATCGACGTAGCGCTCGCCGGACAACGCCGGGTCGAACCGATCGAAGCTCCACAAGCGCTCGGCCCAGGTCGAAGCTGCCCCAATCGTCTTGCTCCTCGTGGTCGTTGCCGTCGCCGTCGTCACCACCTGGTGGCCCGCCGGGAGGAGGTTCAGGAGGAGGTCGTAGCCGATTGCCGTCATGTCCACGCAGGTCGCGATGAGAACCTGATGGTTCCACAACAGAGCGTCCAGCTTGCGTCCCTTCGTCTCGACGACGGTGAGGTTTCGAACGCGTTGTCTTGTCTGCACCACTCGGGTTCGCCGCATCCACCGAGTCAGGGACGTAGTCGTCGTACTCGCCATCGCCGTTGTCGAATTGGTCGAGAAACCGGTCCAAATCCACATGCTGATGTTCGCCGTGTTCGCCATCGCCGTTGTCGTTGAGCTCGTCGAGAAAGCGGTCCAATTCCTCGCCATGGTCGTTGACGGATCGCCCCTCGGCGGCCGGCGGAGGAGGCGAAGTAAGCCGCACCGAACTTGTGGGGTCTTCCGAAGCCGGCCGTCGACCGTCACGAGGATGATGACCAGAGCGTTCACGAGCAGCACCAGCACGTTCAGGGATAAGAGGCCATTGGCAGTCAGGACCATAAGTGTGACTGCTGTGACCACGATGGCGATGCCGCACGCAACCAGGACAATCCAGCTGCCACTCTTCGACGTCGGGATGCTTGCAGTCGCCAGTGCGCGTATGTCGAGGATGATCCTTGCGAAAGTGTCCGCGACAGCCAGGACAATCATAGCGCTTGCCTGCCACAAAACACCGCGAAGGCGAAGAAGAAGACCTGGAGGAAGTTGAAGTCGTGGCTGTGGCGACGACGGCATCGTCCTGCATGGCCCGCACCAGGTCATACACAGAGGCTGCCAGCAACAGACAGAAATGCCGAGGCCATACTTGAGCAGCACGAGGAGACGCCGTGGGCTTGGGCGTGCCACCCGGTTGAGTCCACTGGCCAAGCACCGCGTGCTCATGTAAGCCAAGGCAAAGCCGTCCACGAAAACGCCAAAGCAAATGCTCCGAGCTGCCCACCAGGGTTGTGGCCTTCTGGACTGGTCGCACAACGCCATCGGGTCGCGAAGGCAGACGTAGTCCGACTTGACACTGATGGAAGTGAACGGAATCAACTTGGGGATGTCTGAGAATACGTTTCCATTCCATCATGTTGAGCATATCGCTGCTTTGCGGCTGCTCCAGAAGGAAGTGCCGTCCACGTGCAAGTTGATACATAGCCACCTGCGCTGCCAAGCGAGCCAACGGAAGCACCTGCTGCCGTCGAGAAAGCCAAGCTTGAGGGTTGATCTGAGCGTTGAGTGCTGCCCAACCCTTGAGTCCAGTACACGGGGGACCCATGAGTACCAGTTGAGGCTTGACCGCTCGCAAACAAGTCCAAAGCGCCGCCACACCCTGATTGGTGCTGAGGTCGAAGCCGCACTCTCGTTCGATGTTCGGGCCCGCACGAAGACCATGAATACGCACCACTAGTCGACTCGTTGTAGCGTCGCCGCCGAAGATCTCCATGATAGCCACACCATCCGGTAAAGAACCTCTCCGTTTTGAAGCGTTCTTGTCCACGTAAAGCTCGTACAAGTAGTCCAGCACACGATCATTGAATTCGGGTTCCGGTAAGGAGTCATCTATACAATCGTGCTCGAATAAGGCAATACTCGTAGTGTCTTCACCGCAATCGTCCCAATGTTGTTGCACAGATTTGGCAGAGACTGGCTTCGGACGCTCCACGCCCGACGCTTTCAGCTGCTGTTTTCGGCGCTTAGCCTTCTCTGCCTGCTCCGTGGGATATTGAAACTGCACGTGACGATCTCGGTGACAATCTCGACTTCTGCTGCCAACATCGCCGTCCAGGTTGCTCGCACGTTGCGTCTCCCAAGCTCCGACACGCACCTCGCCCCCATGCCCAACCTCGCCAAGTGACTCAGGCTGCCCGTGCTGAGCCAGTGCCAAGCGCACCAGCTTTCGAAGTGTCTCTTTTTCATAGGCCACCGTGACGTGACGAGGTAATTCACGAAGATGAGGATGTCGCGCCGAACATTGACAGGGAGGAAAATTGGAGATTGCGGAATTTGTCGCGATTCGTGTCGTGCCAGAAGCGTCCAGTCCATAGGCGCACCACGGTACATCCACACGGGTTTGATTTCCAATACACTCAGAAATCACCGTCAGATCCCACGTTGTGCAGCGGCTGTTCGCGTCCAGCATGAAGGGTCGACGACCATCCAGTTGTGTGCAAACCAGACGACAAATGGTGTCAGCTCGTTTGGAATCTCGTCTATTGCCTGATCCAGCATGAGGTCCGCCAAGTCGAATCCAAAGGAAGGAAGGTTTCTCGCTTGCGAGCCTCGAACATAGAATATTTCGTTGAGTCACACTATACAAATCGGCAGATATGTGTACCACATTCCAGCCCAGTTCATGCATCAATTCTTGGCGAATGCCGTACGCATCGCCCACAACCCAGGCCACCGGTTTCGGCTGCGTCGTGGCCGCCTGGGATATTCGATCGTTAACGTCGCCAAGTCAGTTGGACGCCTGCGCGCCCTTGCCATCCAACTTGGTCTTGCCTTCGGTCTTCTTGCTCGCACTGAAGGTGTGCACATCTTCAGAGGAGCGTCCACCTTGCTTGCCATCAAAGTGATGCACTTCAAGAAGCAAATGCCCTGACTCCGAAAGTGTGAGAGGCAGGGACATACTTCCAGGGGATAGCCGCATATCGATGCCGCCAGGTCCGGGTAGCACCAATCGATTGTTGCCCAAATCGAGCACCGCCTTCTGAACTGCTAGCGACTGTCGTCCCCAAAGAGGAGGAAGAGCACTCCCTTCAATCACCGGGGCCGAGAACTTGCCCAAGTGAAGCTTGCCATTGTCGTCGCGGAAACCAATGGCCACCTCTTCCTCGTTCTGAGCGACTTGTGCCTGTTTGCCCACGCCCTCGACCGACATCTGCTTCGGAAGTCGACGTCGTCGAGAAGAATGGCCAAAAGTCGCCGCCTGTGCAACCAGCTGAGCCATTGTATCGCTGCCCACCAAGTTGCCGTGTGCGCCCGGGTCGACCAACAAAGCGGCCTTGCCGCCCTTCAAGCGAGTCTTGGCATGGTAAACCATATCCACCGGATTGTCGGAATGCCACCACGGAAAGTGAAAGCCGCCCCCGGCACCACGACCACCGCCATGTAGCAACTGAGATAGCCCAAGCACGTTGCGTTCGACAGCGGAGCGGCGGTCCGCCTGCGTCTGACTGGCACTGCTGCCCACATCCGAATACTGATCAGTTCCAGACTGCACGCTGACTGCTCGAGGAGGGGCCGAGGCCGGAACTGTCGTGAATCCAGATATCATCGTCGGAGCCGCCGTGGTTGCCGTCCAGGTAGGTGGCGCGCTGCTCGAAGGAAATGTCGGTGCCCAGGTAGGAGGAGGATGCTTTGGTTCGGAAGCTCCAGGAAGCAACTGTTCCACTCGACCGTCGGAACTGGTTCCGCCATCGCCATGTCGCGACCTCTTTGGCAACATCTGGACCAAGTCATCGAGATCCGTCGCCCGCGTGTGCCAAGAGGACATGGCTGCGTAACCGCCAGGAGCAGCACCACCACCACTGCCCATCGCCAGGTGAGCCGCCGTAGACGATGAAGTCGCCATGTGTGCCGCGCCGCGATTGTTCGGACAGTTCTTGATGAGGTGCTCTTCAGATCCACAACTGTGGCAGCGTAGTACACGACCACTGGCATCGGTGGGGTTGCGACGGCTCTTGCCACCGCCTCCCTTTCCTTTTCCGCCAGCGAAAGCTCGTGCAGGAAGAAACGACGCGAAAGCCGGGCCCTTGCCAAAGTTCCCTTTTCCAAATCGACGCCTTCGTTTAGGCGCCTTGTTCTGGAATCGTCGCCATCGTTTCTTTGACATGTGGTAGTCGTTGTGGAGAACATTGCCCAGCTCATTCGGATCCATGTTGCCAGCCGCGGATTCGCCGAAATAAGAATCGTGACCATCATCAGACGAGGTTTCCGAACTGTCTTCGCCACCATAGTATTGACCGCACATAGGACAGGATGTAGCATCGGCCCCACCATCATACCCAGCTTCTCCGACCGGATAATGCGCGAAGCCGCCCGTCGTGTCCTCGCGACCAGTACCACCGCCATTGTTGACGTTGTCCTGGAAAGTAGGAAAGAAGAAGGTGGCGTTGCCGCCCATCGCTCCTTGCCGCATGGCTGCTTCTCGCCCAAGCTGAGCTATGCCGTGCTGTTCATGTAGATGCCCTTGTCGGCGTAGACGCTCGATCAACATGGCCAGCTGCGCATTGTCCTGAGGCAGATTGCCGTTGAAAGGCATGAGGGCCCGATCCCAGACGTCGGGAGTGGCCCGAAGTCCATTCAACAACATCCACGCCAATCCAGGAATGCCCATCTGCATGTTGCCGCGGTTTTGCGCTCTGTTGCGTAGCACATCGAAGCGAGTAAGATAAGAATCCATTGATTCGCCATGGATGCGTCGGAGGTTGATGAGCTCGGCAATGCTGCGTGTACTTGATTCCACTTCCAGGGGGCTGTAGCGTTCCGCCAAAGTGCGCATGAGTACCATCAAGCCAGTCTCCACTTGACCTTGAGCATTCACTCGGCCGTTTCGAAGGAGTTCAGCAGGTATCTCGCGAACCACCTCGCGAGCCGCACCATGCACTTGCATCGCCACCGCCGGCCCATGGCGTTCAGCTTCTAGGTCGGTTGCTCCAGCCCACAATACCACGTCTGCAAGCCAGGATCGGAAAGAGTAGTCCTGGTAACTTTCGTCCATTCAGTCTTCGTGGTGTCCAAGTAGGAATGGCAACGAACCCTCCGTCCGCGTCGGTGTGATCAAGTGCAAAGCGCAAGTTGTCCATCTCGATTGTTGTCGATGCGGTCATCCCCTGCTCTGTGTTGAAAACCTCAACTTCGCTGCCTGTCGGATTGAAATGTGGCAGCCCGACAACGTCTTGGAACGAGAGCTCTGCGCCATTGACCTGATGTTTTATATGCCCGATCGCCCCATGGAACGGAAGCTCTGTCTGCTTTGTACGCCCGATCACCTCATGGAACGGAGTCTCTGCATGCTTTGTATGCCCGATCACGTCATGGAAAGGAGTCTCTGCATGATTTGTATGCCCGATCACGTCATGGAAAGGAGGCTCGCCATACAACTCGGACAGGTGTGCCTCCGGGAACTTGTTGTCATCCAGCCCATGTATGTTCTCTTTTCCTTCGTATGCTGCCGCGTGTTCTGCTGGAGCTCGGGGAAAAGTGGAGGTGCTGTGAGGCTGCTTTGTGACGTGTGCATGTTGTTGCATCTGCCCGTCTTGGTGTTGCGCTTGCTTGTCGCCGAGCTGCCCTGAGTCGTCAAGTACAACATTACGGAAGGGTTGAAGGGGGAGCTTATTAAATAAGGACCCAAGCATGCTTAAGGACCTTCCAGTCATACCCGCAATGGCCGTGTTGGCCGAAACTACCTCTACAGCAGCGACAACTACGGGTGAACGATCAACTTCCGCGTCGGTCTTGGGATCACTCAACAGCAGCTCGCTTCCAGCAACCGAAGTAAGGGCACGCGCCAGTCCAAAGTCAGAGGCCAAACGTGGATCGCCGCCTGGTACGTGTGTCAGCGCTCGACCGAGTCCAGCGTCCGCCGCGACGCCGCGCTCCAATCCGGATTTCGAGTCCGACCACGTGCCAGCCAGCGAAGTAAAACCACGTCCAAATTCGGTGTTCGTCGCAGACAATTCGATGTCACCAGCAACGCCACGTCCAAGTCCGGAGTTCGCTGTAGCCAGTTCGATGTCTCCAGCCGTATCGCGTCCAAGTCCGGTATTCGTTGTAACCAATCCGATGTCGCCAGCAGCGTCGCGTCCAAGCCCAGGTTCGACCAAAGCAAGCTCATCGCCTGGAGAGCGCATCACGCCAAGAGTCGCAACGTTCTGTCGTCCAACTGTAGACGTTGTAGTGGTATAGCTCTCCCAGCCAGGTTCCGAAGCAGAGTTGCCACCAGTGTTCGGTACAAAATCCACCTCACCTGCACTGACGCCCAAAACCCACTCGCAAGCACTGATAATTCGCCGCCAGCAGTCAGCAAAACAGCTCTCGAGATCAATACCAGCGCTTCGTCCTTCCTGATCCGATCGGCCGCTTTGCTGCCGAACTTCAGCTGCAGAACCTGTAACAGCAGGATCCAAAGACCCAGTCGACAGATGCGAAGCCACTTCAGGATCAGGTTCGAAGGATTGCCTTTCCGAGAGCATCGCAAAGGACTTGTCGCCCGCTCTCTCGCGTTCTAAAAGGAAGCGATCCAGCTCTGTGTCCGGGCTGGTTGCTTGACCATCCATCTGACCGTTGCCTGCCGAAGCGGCGCTGGTCGGCGAAGTGCCGTGCTCACGATATGACGGTTGCTTTCTGGCCTGGTAGGCCCTGCTATCAAAGTACATCGGGTGCCCTCCCGCTCGAAGGCAGCAAGAGAGCAACAGACAGCACAAAAGAGAAGCCATGGCTAGTATGAAGGTGCAAGGCAGTTCAGAAAGTAAAACTGAAAGAGTGAAAGCTAGGACAGTCCCCAGAACACCAAAAGTGCTCCGCTACCAAGTTGAGATACAAAGGGAATAAGTAGATCAGTAACCCAGGCAGGAAAAGAAGGCCCCACACGCGAAGTGTTTTGCTTGTAAAGCACATTATCGTCTCCGGAGCTACAAGTGGGCAGCGGTATGCATGGCATGACTTAAGGGTCCTCAGAGCACCAAGCAAGCAAGTACCTTCCGACTCATGGGACTTAGTCACTACTTATAACTGGGCTTATCACCCTACTTATAGTCCGCCTAACTGGACTTAGGGGAGTTACCCCAATTACAAGAGGGGTTATAGTCCTAGTTAGACGTAGTTACTAAGTCCCATGAACCTCCAAGTAGTGGATTACCATAGAAGCTTCACATGGCGAACCGGGCAGATCATCCCTTCATCCCAACGAAAACTGACACCGTAGCGGCCCTAAGCCCGTAAACCCCGAACCCCTAAAACCTAATTGGCATCTTATGGTCCTTTGAATTGGGGTTTAGGGTTGAGCGTGTCAGGGTTTAGGGTTCAAATCTTTGGGGTTTAGTGCTTAGGATTTGGGGTTTAGGGTTTTGGGTTCTACTCTTTGGGGACGATTTCTGGGGATTATATAGGAACTACTGTCAATTCATTCTTTCATTCCCCACCCTGCGCCAGGTCGTCTACATTTCTGCCCTCAGAAATCTAAACCCCAAACCCCAACTTTTGAACTTTGCTTCTTCCTATGAACTATCATATGACACTAATCGGGTCCTCATTGTGTGTTTTGAGGTTACGCAATCCACTAACCCCCCACAATCTTCTGCCTCAAAACAAAAGAGAACGGGCTGGAAGGTTGGAGGTTATTATCTCAGGCACTAATATTAAGTCTCCTTGGAAATCCGCATATCCGGTTTTCTTACATCTTCATATGAAGTTCCATTCTGTGAGGGTGGTAAGGTAGGATTGAAAACAATGAGAATACGTCGATGCGATAGATTCTACTATTGCTAAATATGTGGTCGTAAAGGAATAATGTTGGTGACTATGTAGACTTTTACATACACTTCGCTTTACGGATGGCGTTTGGACTGAAGAGGGCCCACACTTGACGGCTCTGATGATCACTTTGGGACACCATGTTTGACGAGGGAGCTTTGCAAAAAGACGGTAGCAAACAAACCTGAATGGCTGCACCAAGATGGTGCATGATCTATCTGGGCATGGAATAGTAGCAAGAATCGAAACTCGTTAAACACGAGGGCAGACTCGGTAGTTGCCCGGAAATCGGGAGACCCCAATATAAACCCGTATGTCCTATAATTAGTTCTTATTATGGGACCATAAAAAGGTACCATCTAGTTTTGGGAAGCCCCCGACTTGCATCCAGGCTGCAAGTGATCCAAGGTGTAGACTGCCACACTTTCAGACGCCTTGGAAGCGAGCAGTCTTTGAGGCTTAGGGTTAAGGTTTTAGGGTTTAGGGTTTAGGCACAAGTTTAGAGGTTTAGGGCTTAGCGTCCAAAAGCAAGCCCTAAAGCTTTGGCCCTAACCCTCTAAATCCTACACACAGTGTATAGCAAAATAACAGGTTGATGGCAAGTCGTGCTTCGGGCTCATGGTTGAGAGTTTAGGGCTTCGGGATTAGGTTCCAGGATTTTGGGTTTGGGTTTAGGATTCAGGGTGTAGGTTCAAGGTGCAGAGCTTCGGATTTAGGTTTAGGTCTTAGGGGTTAACTGTTCTTTTGCAATGCCTCTTTCACCTACAGGTTGTAGGGCATCCTTGGCCGCCGATACTGAAAACAAGATACACATGGGTGGTTGTCAAAATTATGGTCCCTTTCTGGGTACCCTAAATATTAGGTGCCGTATTATAATTTTGACAACCACCCACATGAGCATCAACATTGGTATTAAACTTGTTCCTTCCGCAATGTGATGTTCTCGTTGCGCTCCTGCTGTAGCTTGCGAATAACAATGTCCGCATCCTCATGCAGCCCATGAACTTATGGAAGCTCAAAAAAGCTGCAGCATTCTCGAAAATACCTTCCGGTAGAGCGGCTGAAGCGCGAATGATACAAAAAAACAAACCGCCATGCTGTGCACGCTCGCCGTAGACACTGGACCAAGAGCCTCGACTCAGCAGTGATTACTGGTACTCAGAACCCCTCTTGGGTCCTAGGTCATATAAGTTGAACAGCGCCCACTTCTAAACCTACTTGCTAAAGTCCCCCTGACCCTCCAAGTGATCTGTAAACCGGCCCTGAACTCCAACGCAAGTTTTTTTGGAACGTACCTTCTGCGGGGCGTACCCTGACGCTTAGGGTGAGGGGCTTGAGGTTTAAGGGCCACCCAAAAACCCACCCAAAAAAAAACAAAACTTGAAGTCTCTAAACCCTTTCAAGGGCAACCCTAAACCCTAAATCCTTAAAAAAACAAAATTGAAGTCTCTAAACCATTTCAAGGGCCACCCTAAATCCTTAACTAGGGCTGGTTTACAGGCCTACTGAAAATCTGCGATCTACAGGGATCCCTTCTTTGGTTTAAGGGTTTAGGGTTTACAATCCCCCTTAAGTAGATAGAATATGGCTTTGGGTAGATTATAATAAGATCCCCATATACCCCAGATTCTATCTACTTGAGGGGGACCATACCCTAAACCCTAAATAGTGGTTTCCATTTTCTTTTCCATTCTCCCAGTATAACCCTAACAGAACCCCAGCACAACCATAATCTACTTAAGGGAGACTGAAAGCATGACCTGGCCACTGATTAGAGCTCGCCCGGCTCCCGACGGATGGGGACTTGACAAGGTGTTGTTCTAGCGGCCCGAAGCCTTGAGCTCTCAAATCCTAACCCTAAACTAGTTAGGTCCCCTTTAAGGGGGCTATAGGGATATATAGGGATTAGGGATTAGGGTTTAGGGATTACGGTTTAGGGTTTCGGGTTTAGGGTTCATGGGACGTAGTAACTACTTATAACTGGGCTTATAACCCTACTTATAATCCTTCCAAATGGACATTCCAAACCCTGAAAAGTATGGTTGTGGGCAAGCATCCACAATCCGTTAAAGTAGCCTCAGGCCCCGAATAAGCCTGCGGGTTGCTCTTAGAACCGCTGACACTCCGAAAGCACTCTTTAACATGCTGCACCATGTCCTTGAATTCAAGTGCAAAATGGACATGGGACGCTACTTTTGGAACCGACCAGGTGTAGGATTTCAGAGACTGTACTGAATTGGATTCGAACACTCTTTCAGCCGATTTCGCAAAACCTACAAATTTTGGTTCCGTCGCATACTCTCGGCACTGTATGAGTCTATGACCCTAAACCCTAAGCTCTTGGGATGCCCTCACACATTTTCCGTACTAGCCCAGAAGCTCGTGGGCATATGCTTCCGAATCCTAAAGGTTTAGGGTTTAGGGTTTAGGGTCCTAAAAGCAAGAGGCCGTGAACAACAAATGATGACTCAGCACTGCGCCGCAGCCCAGAAAGGACGCCTAAGCACTCCAGTCAGAAGGAGTTTTCAAAGGGAGAGAGTACAGGGTTTACTATATATAGGGGTAGTATAGAGAGAGATATATAGGGGGCTATATAAGGGGCATGGAGAAGAGAATGGAAACGACTAATCATCAGGGTACACAGTTTACCTATGCCCTATAGCAAGTATGGCAGCATACTCTTTTGCGGTCATGCAGGATTTTGTCCAGCAACCACACTATGACTCTTGGTAGTTTCCATAAACAGGGGGATCCCAAAGATAGATAATATGGACCGCGAATACTATAGTCCCCCCCCCCAAAACAAAACAAAAACTAAACCCTGAACCTAAACACTAAACCAGACACCTTTTGGAAACGAAAACTTGAGGCTTGAATCGCCTCTCATGTTAGGGAGGTCTGCCACTGGTCTGCCTCAAGTAATATACTGTTTGGGAGCTAGGGTTTAGGGTTTCGCACCCCACTCCTAATATTCAGTACTCCGCATAAAAAAATATATATTGGGTGACTTGGCAGAAATTGTGGGAAAGGCGTGTATTTTTGGTATGAAGGGGTTAGCTACAGTACGGCGGAGATACGTCGCACATGTCATATTGAATAAAGAATGCAGGAATGTATTTTGGCATGTTCCGTCAAGAATGGTGCTTCCCTAGCGCATTTAAGGCCCACTGAGTTTATGTTGGCCCTATGAGTCAAAGGAATAAGGGCGTTTTGCGGACAATTCCATTCGGGGTCAAAGGACTGTTGGGACAACTCTCATTAACAACAGCAAGGGTCGCCCGTATATGCCCCCAAACCACCGTAACCCTTATTGTGCGACACCCAAAGTCGAAAACAACAAAAAAAATGATCACCAAAACTCAAAATCCAAAACCCTAACCCTTAAACCCCAAGCCCTGAACGCCTACAAGCTTAAACCCAGAAATCCTAAAACATGCTGACACCCTAAACCCTACGCAATCCCAAACAAACCTCATAAGAAAACACTAGCTGCAAACAATCCGAGGTATACATTAGGAAAACTAAAAACCACTTGACCACTGTAAATCCTAATCTAGGGTCTATGATGTCGAGGCCCTGGACGTTGCTTTCAGACATAAGGGCATTCAGGGTCTATAGGGTTTAGGCATTAGGGTGTAGGATTTAAGGGAGCATTAAAACCAAGCATGTGCCTGGACCTCCCAAGGACCCATATTGATCTCTTAATTAAGCCTCAAATTAGAAGAACATGGGCTGATATTATGGGTGTTCGGAAGGTCCAGGTCAAAGTACAACCCTAAACCCCAAACCCCAGACATTCATAGGGATAAGCTTCATCACAGAGCAGAAGGGCCGAAAGCCATCAGCCTTAAACCCGAAGGAGCGTAACTAAACGCGTTAAACTTAGAGTTTAGTGTTTGGGTCA